GGAAATGGATGGGCAGCCAGTGCAGCATGGCCAGAGTAGGAGAGATATGTTGGTATTTTCTCACTCCAGTGAGGAGTCTGGCCACCGCATTCTGCACCACCTGAAGTTTCCGCATCAGCTTCAAAGGGAGCCCCACGTAGAGCGCGTTACAGTAGTCTAATCTAGAGATTACGAGCACATGTATTAAGGTAGTGAGCACCCTCGTGTCTAGGTAAGGTCACAACCGGGCAATCCGCCAAAGGTGGAAAAAGGCGGAGCGGACTACCGACGCCACCTGCGTTTCCATGGTGAGCATCGGGTCCATATATTATGTCTACAGCATTCCCTAACAGTAAAGTTACCCAATTAAAAAAATGAGATCAGATTAGTCTGGCAGGATTTGTTCTTGACAAATCCATGTTGGCTTCTAGTTATTACTGCCTTGTTTTCAAGGTGCTTACAGAATGACTGGTTTACAATCTGCACCTGAATTTTCCCTGGGATTGATGTCAGGACGACCGGTCGGTAGTTCTCTTGTTCCTCCTTTTTGAAGATTGGGACAACATTAAAAGTCATATTTATCCTCCTGAACTAGGATTCCCATGAATAGTATAAAGAAGTTTATAATATAGCTATTAATTATCAGTTAATGTGTAATATCAAACTAAAGAAGAATTTGATAAATAAGATTTTTTTTTTCATACCTGGGAAGAATTTGTACATTTTGTGCTAATAAAAGGGGAGGGTTGTGAAGCTTAGCAAGACTCAGTACAGTTTGGGAAAGGGAATGGGGCTCCATAAATGGAGGAAAATCTGGTTATATCTCCATATTTTCCCTGTGGGGAAACATTTTATAATTGTATTGTTCATGTGGTTTTGTGTTACTAAGGTTGATCAGGTAGGTAAAGTTTTGTTTATACTTCTGCTTATTTTGTATAAATAAAAACAAATACAAATTAAGTTTTAAAAAGGAACAGTTTTGCATTAATAAACTCAATTGACAGTGAACCTGAAGAACTGTGGATTGAAACCAGATATATTATTAGAGAAGAATGCAAACATACAATTCCTACAGTAAAAAAGAGAAGATAAACCTAGATGGATGATGGGAAAAAAACACTTAGAATTGTTACGGACAGGTAATAAGCAAAACTTGAACATGACACAGGTAGAATTGGAATCCGGGAAGGCATTTCATTTGACTGTCACATAGAGAAAAGGGAACTATTATAATAGCCAGTGCAATGAAATAGAGGAGAACAACAGAAGAGGAAAAACAAGAGAACTCTTCTAGAAGATCCAAGAAATGGAAGGGAAATTTAACTCTAGATTAGGAATGATGAGTGACCAACAGGGAAGCACACTATCTGGCCAAGATCAGATGAAACAGTATACTGAAGACCTATACAGAAGAGATGGTGTGCACCATCATATTTCCAATCACCCTATATGGGTGTGAGAGCTGGACAATTAAGAAACCTGACTGGAAAAAAAATTGATTCATTTGAAATATGGTGCTGTAGGAGAGCTTTGTGGATACCTTGGCTGTCAGAAAAAAAAGAAACAAGTGATTCCTAGATCAAATCAAACCTGAACTTTATCCGGAGGTGGAAATGATGAAACTGAGACTGTCATACGAAAAGAAAAGATTTTCTGGAAAAGACAATAATACTTAGAAATGTTAAAGGTAGTAGGAACAGAGGAAGACTAAATATGAGGTGGATTGTCTCCATCAAGGAAGTCACAGTCTTGAGTTTACAAGAGGTGAGCAGGGCTGTTGAGGACAGGACATTTTGGAGATTTCTCATTCATTGAGTCACCATAGTTCTTAGGTGACTTGATAGCATATAACAACAACACAATATGTTGTTTGTTCCTCTTACGTCTGAGGAAGTGGACTTGTCCACAAAAGCTCACATTAAAATATAGCAGTTAGTCTTCATGGTGCCATACATAGTAGTCGTCGTCGTCTTCTTCTTCTTCTTCGGGTCCTGAGCACAGTTTTAGCTGCAGTACAGCGGTTTAACCACTGTGCCACAAGCCTCTAGAGAGGAAAGTGCAGCCCTCCATATGTTGTTGGACTATAAGTCCCAACATTCTTCATCAAAATACTGTTGGCTAGAGCTGATGGAAGTTATAGTCTGGCATCTGGAAGTCTGTCCACCAAAAGTTCCCATTGGCACCAGTGGCAACTTTGTTCATAAGCCTACTAGCTGTGCATGGGATTTTAGGTGCATGCTATTTTTTGTACTATTTTTTGTTGGGGATGGAAGGTATGTCTTCCCTGCCCCTGTATGTCTTTCTTGGAAAAATTCTCTACTCTGCCATGCACCTGGAAATAGCCTTAATTTACTAACATTTTCAAAAAGCGGCATTGTGTTGGTTGTGTGGTAATTTTCTGTTCAATGTATTGCTAGTTATTAAAGCACCCTATTTCAAAAGGACTGGTTATGAAAGTAAAATCAGATATATTCCATAGAAACGCCCAGAGCCACAACACACAATCAGGTAACATAAGCAAACACTTCCATTATGGGGCATTTTGTGATTCTCAATGATATTCAGTGTCCAACTCCAGTTCAGTACATCTGTTGGAACTTTTTTTTGTGTGAGGCATTTCTATTGGTAGAAAAAAAATACAGTACATGAGAACTAACTGAAATGTAGGGAATGTTGTTTATAACTGTGTAGGTGACAATGCTATAGAATGCTTACATTGGTGGTCTAGTTCTTTGAAGTTTCTGCAACAAAATGTGACTGGGAAATTCAGGAAAGTTAACTATAGGGAAGCCAGATATGTACATGTTTATTATTTATCAAGCAAAGGTTTATTTTTGTCCTCAAAAGTCACAGTGATGACTGAATAACATTTTTGATGTTATAAGAAGAGCCAGAGCTTCAGTGGAAGTTGTAGCTTCTGGTGTGCTTTCATGGCTGGTAGAAATGGGCACGAGTTGTGCTTCAGGCCTGGTTTGGAGCCTGCGCAGGTGTTCCGCAAGCACTGTGCACTTTCCTCCTCCACCTCCTTCACAAGATTGCCCCCTCACCGACTGCGGCTCCCTTCCCTCCTCTGCATTCTCCACAGGATTGTCTGCTCACTGGTAGCACCGTGTGCTTCCCTGCCCCCTAGTCTGAGTGGACAATTGCATGGAGAAGACAGAGGAGGGAAGCGGGCTGCTGTCAGTGAGGAGGCAGCCAGTCACCCATAGAATGCTGAGAAGGGAAGTGTAGAGTGCCTGTGAAACACCCAAGCGTGGTTTGTGCACATCTTTAATAACTAGCATAATAAGAATGAATTGTGCACCACTTTGAAAATACAGAGTATATTATTAGAAAAACCAGAATACTTATATGTCATATATGATTTTCAAAATACACCTTTTCATGGTGTAGAGCTTGAGCATAAGTTTGAGTTTGAGTTTCTTTTTTTGAGGCTAAGCACTACCTCTACATAACCAACTAGTAATAATTAGATAAAAGTCATTTATCACGTATACAATCTGAAGGCTTTTGTTTATTCCTTCTTCTGTTTCTCATCATTACCGGTAAAGGGTATCCAATAACACTTGGAGGGCTGCATGTTTCACATGCCTATTCTTAGCTAAGGGCAGCTTTCACATTGCTATGCCAGCCTTCAAACAATCCATAGAAATTAGGCACAGTTTTCTTTTCCTTTCTCAGAAGAAGATCGTGTTGACCTGCAACTCTGGACTGTGGAACAGATTTGTGACTTGTGACCCCATTGACTGCCAGTTTCCAGACCAGTCACATGTGCTTCATGCAGACTTTGCGTGCCCAAAAGGGACCACCTACTTGAATCAATGCTTCTTCTCCTGCATGAAGCCAGCAAAGCTTCAAGGTATGCTGCTGTTTGAGGAGCATTCTCTCCTAGAACAACTGTGGACAAGTTCCAAAAAAGCTCAACCTATGTCTTCATATTTTCTGTGTTTCTACTTTGTGCATACCATCTGAAAAATACTACATAAAATATTTATGATGATGATGAGCATGCATGTTACCCGTTTTGGTTCCATTCAAGAGAGCCACATAATACATCCAGTTGTATGGCTTCTCACAGACTTATTGTTTTAATATCAGTGGCTAGGATGATATTTAAACACAAATGAACAGTGCCATAAGGCAGACTAATCTATCTATGCACTAAAAAGAAACATCAGCCCTTTGTTATTATATAATAAAATACACTCATGATTACCAGTGTTATATAATAAACTTGTCATAGGGGGATGCCTATTACTGTTTTCAAAGAGTATCACCCACTCTTGCATTTGTGCTTCCACCAAATGTTATTTGTATTTAGGATATGATTTCAGGCAAGTTTTTTAAAATTCAGGATGCTTTACCACTGGTGGCAGCAGATTCCAGTTTTTAAAACAATCTCTCTTTTCTTTGCTGCTCTTGAGGTACTGGTGGCAACAGAACCACCAGATTTGCTTGCTGTGATTATGGAGCAGAGAATGAAGTGGGTGGTTCATGACAGTATATGTATGTTTATTTTGCCCACTGAAACATCAGATGGTAATTGCAGGTACAGATAAGCAAGGCATTCTAGGGTTAGCTTTAATTCTTTAGAAAGGTTCCTGGGTAGGCAGAACCTACAGCAGAATTAGGTAGCCTGGATCCCGAGGGGTGTAAATCTTTCAGGCTACTCAGAACAGCCTTCCCTCACCCATTGCATCAGTCCTTGTGTCCTCACCTGTTTATTCTCAACGGTTGACCAAGGAGCAACCTCTCCACAGTGGTTTATGAGAGGTGCAACATGGATTCTTGTCTTGCTTCTACCTTGTACAATATGAGTTTGTCACTTGACAAATCCAAAGTAGCATTTCAAATTCTCAGTACAGATTGCTGAGGCCAGTCCAGGCCACTAGTTGGCCATCACTATAATGATCTAATTGTGTTCCATATTCTTACTGGACTCTGATTCTCTCGCTCTCACTCTCTCTCCCCTCTTGCTTGGAGTCAGGAAAGAATCAGTGGCTGATGTGCCTTGAGGATGGACTGTGGTCACTCCCAGAAGCTTACTGCAAGCTGGAGTGTGACACTCCACATCCAGTTGTCAATGCAAAGCTGTTGGTCCCCCATTGCTTGCAAGGGAATCATGACGTGGGCTCTGTCTGCACCTATGAATGTAAACCTGGGTACCATGTAGCAGACACCACAGAAGGAAAGCCCAGGAAGTGAGTAAAACCAACACATTTTCTTTCTGCCTTTGATATTCCCTGTCATCTCTTCTTTCTCAGTAACAGCAGCTCAATCTAATTGGAAGACTAGCTAGAATTATTTCTTTCTACTGTAGGATTGGCACTTTGCCAATGGATTGCTTGCAGTGAGCAGGGGGTAGGACCTGATGGCCTTGTAGGCCCCTTCCAACTTCACTTTTCTATGATTCTATGATTTGTCTTTCAGTCGTGCCAAGAAGATCTCACACTTCTTCTAATTGTTCCTGATATATCAAGTCATCACTGAGGGGAGAGAAATTGGGTGCCTAAGTCTGAAGTGTAGCCTCTTTCTTATTATTTACGAAAAGTTAATGTGAGATAGCCACCATAACTCTTTCCCTGCCTTTGGTGTACATCAGAGCAAATCAAGTTACTTGGGTTTTTAAAAGCCACTAAATTCCTGTGATATAGATTCAGCTAATCACTGACAGCTCACAAAGAGAGCTTAACTGAAGTGAAAGTGATCTCCAAGGAGGAGGTCCAGCAGGCAAAGTTAGAGTGCAAGGAAGGGAATGTACAACCAGACAAAAATGCTGAAGAGGTTTTCTAAAGACATGCAGTGAAAGGTAAAAGAAACCAGGTTGTAGCTAGGACCAGAATGCTACTTCTAGTGACTGGTGGATGAATTTGCTATGAGATTTCTTAACATAGGAGGCTGGAGTTGAAACCAGTAACATCCTGAGTAAGACTAATCTTTTGAGTAGGAGTGCCATGATTGTGGAATGAATTCTCTGAAGTCCTAGACTTGGAGAATTTTTTTTTACTACAGCTTCTCATATGCTTCTAATTGTACAGCTGGCCCAGTGACTTGATGGTTGGGAGATTCTGGAAATACAGTATTCTAACCTTTGATAGTCCTGTTTGTTTTTTTAAAGATATGCAGGATTCCTCAGCATAAGAGTTGTTAACTCTACATGGTATTACATCTTATGAATCACTCAGGTGGGCAGGGGGGAAACCACACACATTTCTTTGCATTGTTTCTTTTGTCCTTCTGAACTGGTCTGAAGGATGCATTGGATGTGAGGGGAGATTCAGTTAATATGAAAATGAATAGAATTCCTGAATTTCAAATGTTTGAGTTGGGTCAGAATTTATAAGCAGGGCTTCCCATACTTGATATGAAAAGTTCAGATTCATGCCCCAGGAAACCCAATTTTTATAATTAGAAATAATATGGTTAAATAAATATGCATATGTTCTGCTGAGGCATGAGAGATGAACAGCCCTGTCAGCAACAATAACAACTTAGCTAAATTTAAATGTTGCTGAGCCACAAATGATGCAAGGTGAATTTACTGTATTTTCATATAAAAAAATAAAATGAGAGGGTGAAATGAGAATTCTGTTCCCCCACACCAGACCACCCCACCCCACCCATAGTCATGGAATGGGCTAGTTAAGGAGCAATTCACTGAGAAGGAAATGAATATAAATAAATCAGAGGTGGAAAGTTGTGATTAAAGTTAAAGGGCCCAGTTCAGCACAGACATTAAGACAGGATGTTGCCCACAGGCTTTGCCAGAGATTGTGAGTGAAATATATGGCTTCTGTTTTGATTGATTGCCAGCTGAATACAGAAAAAGAATGTTTCATGCACTCTGTAGTAGAAGCGAACATTCAGGTGGGTGCAGATAGGTGTAATTTGAATAATGAGCCCACTATAAAAATACATTCAACCAATTTCATTTCCAAAGACACAGTTGTAGAAAACAAAACAAAAGAAAAACTTTATTCATGATTGCAGCCAGAGAAGCTGTGTACAGTTCTAAATGGCTGAACTTTGTGATACTCAACAGTCTATATGCTCCCCCTGCCAGGTTCCATTTGTAAAAAAAGATGGGTGTCAAACAAATGTTTAATCAACTTACAAAGCACTAGAGGAAGCTAAGAATAAAATATATTGAAAGAATGACAGGAAGCATTTGAGAAGGAATAAAGAAGAAATACAAGTGTTGTTTGACAAGCGAAGGTGGGAAGGTCAAGCCCATGTAATAACAAGCATGTAGTATTAACAACTTTATAGTATCATCTGTATGTGCACACTGAAACGTCTCCTACATGCTAATTGCTGTTACCTGCTTAGTTTCTCTTTGGTTTTAAGTCTCCATAGAATGTGAAAAACCTATTTTTCCAGTGGAAAAGCTTTGTGATTTTCTAATTTTATGAACATGGTGTCTTTCTCATGGTTTCCCTTTTTTTCTGGGTAGGTACTAAGTCTGTTCAAAATTATACTCTGTGCTCTTTTCAGAATAATGGAATAAGTATTTGTGCATCTGTCCACAATGATTTTTTTCCCACAGGGTGATTGCAGCTTCTGCTGTATGGCTTGAAGATATGAAAATGACATTACATGTTTATCCTCATGATATCTGCAACACTTTTCTCAGTGGGGATGCAGATGGAGAACATAAGATGGCTAAATTTTAAAGTGACCATGTATAAATGAGATTTATATAACAATATATATAAAATCTCATTCATACATGGTAACTTTAAAATTTAGCAATCTTATATATACTAATTAGTATATATACAATCTTATATATACTAATTCAGACTTAAAATTCTGTGGACACAACTCCATGACTGTTAAACTTGTACTCTAAAATCTCAGGAAAAAAGTCTTTCCAGCCCTTCTACTTTGTGTCCTTTTTATTTGGGGATACCATTGGCTGAAGTTTGGACCAGATATAGTGTTAGTGCCTAGCATCTTAAAGTGCCCCCTAAGCCCCACTGCAGCAGCAAAACCCACCCAATCTAAAAAGTGACCCCACTTTTTACACTGGGCAGTTATGAGCCTTGATTTTAATTTCCCACAGTGTGTTAACGTGCCACTTAAATATGTCCTCTTTATTTGGAGCATTGTGGGAAATTTTAATGATAATGCCACTGGAGTGTTGCTCCTGTTTCACAGCCAGCCAGAGACACGTACTAGTGTACCAGGCCAGTTAACAGTGGGTGCTAAGTTGGGGTGTAAGTGCCAGGTGAAAACCAGGCCTCTGTTCCAGTCCAGCAGGAAACAGCCAAAGGAAACTTAAGCTTTATCAGACATTCTTGCAGCTATGAGATAAGTGAGTCTGAGCTCCTTTCTTCTTCAGATGTACATGCAGGAACCAATATTCAGTAACAGTAACCAGATTGTAAAGACTGTGTTCAGTACTGGGAATTCCCTGTACTAGGCACACAGGCAGCCAATGCAGAAATATTATTTTTAACTTTTAAAAAAAGAATAGGAAAGCCAAATTTTGCAGATGGAAATCTGTTTGGAAAACTTTTTTGAGAATTTTTGAGGTATTTTTGAGATTTTTTTAAAATATATATATACCATCTCATTAGTGCCATACACTATTCTGGGTGGTTTACAGAAGTTAAAACATAGGATAATAGAATATTAAATTAGCAGTTAAAAGACCACAAAATTTCAAGAGGCATAAATTGTAAAACTAAAATAAAACAGGAGAAACAGAAAAGAACGGGAAAAATAAATAAGAGACAGGGTTGCCAAAAAAAGGCCTCTCTGTCGAGCAGTGCTTTTTAGTGCCTTTTATATGTGGAGAGGTAGCCAGGCACAGCTTTAGTGGAAGTTGGTTCCAAAGTATTGGTGCCATAACAAAGAAGGCCCTACTACTGGTGGATGATTTCCTGGCCCCCCTTGGAGTGGCTACTCAGAGACACATGGTCTGGGAAGGCCTCGTGGAGTGCATAATGATCTTGGGGAAAGATATTCCAATAGGTAACGTGGTCCCAAACTGTGAAGGGCTTTATGGGTGAGCATTAGAACCTTAAATCTGATCCTGAATACAACAGCTAACCAGTGCTGACAAGTCAGTACTGGGGAGATATGATCATACTTGCTCACACCAGCCAGCAATCTGGCTGTTGAATTCTGGACCCTCTACAATCTCCAGATCAGCATGAAGGGTTGTAGTCGATCTGGGAGATGACCTATCCATGCACCAAGGTCCTGAGGAAATCCTTGTCTCAGAAAGGGTGTAGTTGAGTGATGCTTCTCAGCTGGATAAGGATGGCTCTGGACACAGTTGCAATCTTGGAATCCCAGGACAGAGACGGGTCTAGAAGCATGCCCAGATTATGAACTTGCTCCCTAATTGGAATGGCAGTTTAGGGGTAATCCCACCCAACCTTTCTGAGGACACACACAGACATCCAGAAATAAGATCTCCATCTTGTCTGGATTCATTTTGAGCCTGTTCACCCTGGTCCATTCCAAGATCGATTCCAGGCATCCAGATGGCATTCCCTGCAAAGGTGTTGAAGGAGAGATAGATTTGTGTATCATCAGCATGCTGATGTACCTTACTCCGAATCTCCTGATGACCTCCCCCAATGGTTTAACATAGATGTTAAACAGCATTGGGGATATTGAGAGCCCCTGGGGCACCCCACAGTTGTGAGTTCAGGGAGCTGACAGGTTACCCTCAAAGTGAACTCTCTGAACATGGTCCTTCAGGAAGGATTGGAGCTGGCTAAGTGTCAGTCCCCTGATTTCCACCTCTCAGAGAGCCTGTCCAGAAGGATACAGTGGCTGACATTATCAAAAGTCACTGAGAGATCCAGGGTCACCAATAGGGAAAAATCCTCCTCTATCAACCTCCCTTAAAGGTCATCATGCAGTGTGACAAGTGCCATCTCAGTGCTCTGTTGCAGCCTGAAGCCTGACTGGAATAGATCAAGGCAGTTTTCCTCTTCCAGGTATGATTGGAACTGCCCTGCCACCACTCACTCAATCACCTTGCCCAAAAGGGGTATATTGTCAATAGGTCTATAGTGGTTAAGATTATCCATCAGCAGGTGTGGTCATTTAACAATGGGCCAGTTGATGGTTTCCTTCACCCGAGAGGGGAGACGTCCCTTCCTCAAAGAGGCTTTTGCAAAGCTCACCGCCCAATCAACCACACCCCCATTGGCAGCTTTTATTAGCCATGGAGTCGAGC